TCATTACATCACCAGCAGTAAGTCAATGCAAAACTGTCTCACATAGTTCCACCATCAATAAAATACTACACAACATCCTTCCAGTTCTATATTAGTTGAAGCAAAAGGAAAAAACTTAACTGGCCTACGACAGTGTAGATTAACAGACAGCTGTGTATGATTCATTTATATGACATCTGATTTAAAAATTTGCCATTCAACCAACCGTGCTAACTACTTATGAACACACATTTGATGGACAGTCTGGAAAGTAAAATAGTAGATGCCTGTGATAATCATACTCAATTAATTATGTACTGAGTGGATGAGACGACACGTCTGTTGGTATAAGACATTTCGCAAACGCATTCAAAGTCATTTAAAAGCAAAAGATTATAAGTTAACTTGAATTTAGACAAATTTATTCTAAAGTATTCATATATCCTAGCTATATCTTTTATACTGTCAATGCTAGATTTAATGCAAACTGGATATCTTACAATTATGGTAGGCACAGCTTTCTAGAATATTTTGTTATTTATTCTTTATTCCTTTACGTTCCCAATGGAACATAGGGCTTCAGGCTAGAGACTTGAAGTTTCGGTAGCAGTGGTGTTTATTATGTTTACGGGATGGGGCTGTTAATCTCATACCCAATCGTCCCTCATTACCAGCTTTATAACCGGCTTGCCAAAATGAATTAACCTACATGTTGCTAGGATATTCAGATATTTTTGAATAAATGAACCCAAACAGTAGTTGACGCATAATTTTATGTTATCTTTGTGAACACCTTAGCTAAAACTTTCATACATCCTGACAAAAAGACTGACAGTAAAGACCATGCTTCTTAATAATTCAAAATATATAGAAATATTAGTGAACTAGTATCTGCACACAACACATAATGTCAAAATCATACAGGTGTGTTATTTGGTTTGGAGGAGTTCATTGTTATTTTGACCTGCAATATGTCCTCTTAAATTGCCCTATACCTATTGTAACACGTCTTAACTCATTTCTTAATTGAATATATATATATATATATATATATATATATATATATATATATATATATATATATATATATATATAACCAAGTCAGTGAATCTACAGTTTCGATATCGTGAACGCTAACTGTTATTCACAGTGATACTAATACTGCGGCTTTTTATCGAACTTGGAATTCATGGACCGCTGGGTCGGGTCACAGTCCCTGGATGGCCTACGAGCTCACCTCGTAACTGGAAGGTTCTGTATCTAAACCCTGATTAGCGTGTACCGTGAAGACTTCCAAACTAGGACGAAACAGATGTCCAGTACTCGCTGCTAGTCTCCCAGTGGTTCTCCAACTGATGTTGACTGATGTCGTGATCAATCCTCATATCTTTGTATTGTTCAGCTTGTAGTCAGCTGAGAAGAGACGACGAATTACTGAAGAATGAGTGCATATAATCCTGGGACATTTATTGTCTCTGCTTTATTCAAGTTAACATCGAATCGTCGACATCAGAATTGTACGAGCCATGTGAGAATAGATTGATAATAGATTATGCTTCAAGACGCGTGTATGTATGTGTACGATGATATGGATAATTGTAAGGCTGACGATGTAAGACATGCTGTTGAGTCATTTGAAAAGACATGGGACGATAAGTGACCTAGTATTTGGACACACTCCTTCTCGTATATCTATGTCAATGGCCTAGAAAAATATCGTTTCCATTTAGTCGAAACGCAACAATGAATTGAAGACGAGATTTGTAAAATAAATAAATGATCATGAATGGAATAACAGTAAGAAAATATAGTCCTGAAAGTGATATATCCTAAACCTCTATTTAACATGTCCTGTATGTAGTGTGTGGATTAGTTGAACGTGTGAGAATATTTGATGCATGACTCATACACTGCTCACATATAGCTTAGGCAATAATAAGAAATATCAACCAGTTTTATCGACCATGTGATTGAGGATTTAGTTTTATCATGGGACTTAACCCTACTAATTCACTCACACAGACACAGACAGAGCCTCCTGTCTATTTTTGGTTCCTGTTTTTAATATTATTATACATACATTTGATGTTCATGCTGAGTATAAAGTTCAATATAAAATAAGTCATAGGCCACCATCTCTAAACATACATTGTTTACTTCGATCGGACATTAGGTAGTAGTGGCTAGTATATTACGCACGCAGTCTTTTATTTGGTGCAGACTGAATTCGATCAGTCAAGTTTGCAATATTGTCACCAAGCTACATGGCTCACCATCACAGTGCACTGTGAATTGTTGTTGCAAGCTATCGGCAGGATACCTTTGTTCCTAGGCTTCGTGCTTGCTACTCGTTGGTACTTCTCAGAAAGGCATATCTGCAATCTTCAAGGAACTCATGTCCCTTCTGAGATTCGGACCAATCGGTAGAATCAATTCACCACCAAACAAACGACCACACTCTTGATACGAGTTACTAATTAGTGTCCGACCAAAGTATTTAATATCCGATAAAGTCCTACAGGAAGGAAGTCAACAGAGAGCTCAAATAGCTAAGTGGCACTGTCTCTGACTGCATCACTACGTGACACTGGTTCCAACCTCAAAGGAGACATGATTTCTTTCTTTCCAGACTGCAGATACGACTGGCTGATGAGTGTCATCAATCAGGAAACTCAGGTCAAAAGCTACCTGCCGATAACCTACAACCATCGAATAATTCTTACTGTTATTCCATTCATGATCATTTATTTACTTTCCAAATCTCGTCTTCGAAAATCGCGTCTTGAAGCATAATCTATTATCAATCTATTCTCACATGGCTCGTACAATTCTGATGTCGACGATTCGATGTTAACTTGAATAAAGCAGAGACAATAAATGTCCCAGGATTATATGCACTCATTCTTCAGTAATTCGTCGTCTCTTCTCAGCTGACTACAAGCTGAACAATACAAAGATATGAGGATTGATCACGACATCAGTCAACATCAGTTGGAGAACCACTGGGAGACTAGCAGCGAGTACTGGACATCTGTTTCGTCCTAGTTTGGAAGTCTTCACGGTACACGCTAATCAGGGTTTAGATACAGAACCTTCCAGTTACGAGGTGAGCTCGTAGGCCATCCAGGGACTGTGACCCGACCCAGCGGTCCATGAATTCCAAGTTCGATAAAAAGCCGCAGTATTAGTATCACTGTGAATAACAGTTAGCGTTCACGATATCGAAACTGTAGATTCACTTACTTGGGTATGTATATCTAACAAAATATTTAATTGTACATATTAGTTTAATCAGTGCCAAAATAGAAAACAGTGATTTAGAGGAATAATGAGTCAACAAGATTATGTGGATAGATGAAGTGTTCGTAGTTAAACTAATTACTACATATTCCTTAACTTCCAACTTAGAAACGCCTGAAAAATGAGAGTTTTATTTAACCAAGGAAACGTAGCGCACCAATCGAAATGATAGAAAATTCAACTATGCCAACGGTTTTCTAGTGTATATCAAATATGCGCGTTTAACTTACATACAGTCAATCAGTAATTGCGTCTTGATTTGTAATATCCCTGTTCTGAAGATCAGCGTATAGTTTTGAGGCTATTGGAAGTTCTCGGGTTTATAGGTCTAACCAAGATACGGGCCTGACTCACGCCATTTTGCAATAAGTCAAACACAGTACTTCAGTATATAATTTCGGGTATGATAATTGAACTGTTAAAAATTACTTTCACTTGCATAATCATATAATCATTCTACCTTAAGGTAATCCTTCTAAGTGGATTTATAACATAAATTTTTAGTCCATTATAAACAAAATTTAATTTTGATAAATCACACAGTGTTATACAGTCGTATTTACTGATGATGTTCCTACCACAAATTATTGCTCATAATCATATCAAGTCACACATAACGTTTTTGCTTCGTTTATACATTCATGTAAATAAATGAAGCAGAAACGTTGTGTGTGACTTGATATGATTATGAGCAATAATTTGTGGTAGGAACATCATCAGTAAATACGACTGTATAACACTGTGTGATTTATCAAAATTAAATCTTATTCATAATGGAGTTATACTCTACCACAGTGCCCAAGTTTTATACTTATATCAATAAATTATTTAGCGCTGAATGTATAAGAATTTAAGCGTTGTACCATCACATATCCGATGTTTAACTCACAGAACATACAGTAATATATTATTATTTACTGCATAAAGCACAGTATATTAAGGAAAACCATTTCAGTAACTTCTAAGACTCATAACTTCCCAACTATTTAGTATTCTTTGATTTCACTGCTGTTTGCTGGTCAAAACGATGTCACTGAATCAGGATCACTTCAAGTGTGATTTTATAGTACCATAGAAGTACAATCGGTTTCCTAACTAAATACAAAGCCCTACCAATATGAAACAAATCATATAAATGACAAGATGATGTAACCAAGCTTACTACCAAACGCTTAGGACCTGCGTCGCACAGCTAAATAACGTATCCCAAAGAAACAGCAACCTATAGCTTTATTGTCAGAGTAATAAAAAGTCAGTGTTTGGCCTACTTGTACCCAAAGTTGACTGAGTCATGATATTGGCAGCGGTGCATACAGCACATAGTTCACGATTAGGTCACAGAAAAGTAAGTAAACAGCTACTTCATATCATCTAAAAACTGCATCTACCAAATTACACATCTTTCTTAAAGCTTAAAACATCTCCTTATTAATATGTCAAAAGTCCAAACAGCCGAGCTACATCACTAAGTCAATTGTTTACCACTTACTGAATAAAAAAACATAAAATCAAAACTAAAACTCTCTATAATGGATAATAAAATCTCAGTGTTCAAAGGTTAAGAGAAACCATACAATACGCAAAACCTGTACTCCTATATACTGTTAGCTAAAGGAATATTAATCGCCTAGCGCATTTCGCATTCGGGTTAAAGTTATCACTGCTTATTCGAAATACCTACTTCTGCTTCAAATTTGTTTGATTCGCAAGCCGTGCATATTTCAAAAAGATAATCATAAAGTAAACAGCATTTCACACTTTAACTGGATTGTATTTTTTTCAAAAACATGCAAAAATTATGAAACACGGGAATATGAGATTTCTGTAATGCATAGTTTGATTGAGGACTGATAAGAATAGACTTTGTCATCTTTAGCCCACAATCAAATCTATATATGACGTATTAACCTCAACAGTTGAATTGATATTTTCTAAAGTTCAAGAACGAATAATAATAACAATAATAATAATAGAGTACATCTGCTTGGATAATGCAAACACAAAAAAACATTAATGACTTGTTTGATGCTAAAAACATATGACAAACGAATAGCGTTAAGATTAGTAACATAGTAGACATGTTCAGAAGAAGCACCATCAAACGAATCACAAAGCTGTGATTATGCAGTCGCCTCAGCCGCAGGTGCTACTCTAGCAGGTTCAACTGCAGGTTCTGGTACACTCTGAGTATTGGATTTTGAATTCACGTCAGCATCTTCATTTTCCCCAGAGGATGTCTTTAAATCTCGATTTAAAGGCCGTGGATTCCTATTCCTTCTCACAATTGGGCGTTCACGTCCACCATTCGTCCAATAACCACGTCTTCCGAACCTGTTTCCCATATTACGACGTGGTCTAGATTCACTCGTATATGTTTCTGCATTTTCACCTACTTTACTGTTCATCACAAATCCCCCTGTACGCAAACGACGTCTTTCACGCCCACGTGTGCGATTTCCTGTATTGTTAGTGTCAACTTGATTGTTCTGAACGTCGTTGTGATTGCCATTATCCCTATCTCCAGAATCTCCAGCTTCATTTGAAGCATCTCGAGGTGAGACTGGTGCACGTCGTTGTTTACGAGACGACCTATTTTCTCCATCTCTGAAGATAGTTGATCTTAAAGCGTGTTGGTCTTCCAACCCTAGACTTTCAATCACCATATCTAATCTTGAACGAAAACTCACTAGCGCTTCAAGAGGAATACCAATGACATTACGATGGAGTTCAGTAACTTGAGAAATGTGGAGTCGTTTGCCCCATCGAGTATCCCGTAAATCAAAGAAGAACCTCCTTCCGCCAGATGCACTATAAAGTGATCGTACTTCAGGAACTAAATCAACTGAACGGTATCGTGTGACAACGTCAGCTGCAAAACAAAAATATAGAGAAAATGGGACATAAGCAGGAAGTAATCACAATATCTGAACAATAATTTGAAGATTTTAACTCAGATGGCAGAAAACACTACTGATCGTTTTATACTGCTTCGTTAACACAGCTTTAGTTGTAACATAATAGTTAGGTATCCGGTTTATTCATTTTAATGCAAATACGTTAAATTCACTGATGTATTTCGTAAGGTCTATATAACTCCCACGATGTAAATATTCCAAAATATTATCACTGGTAAGTTTGAAATAATGTAAACATTTAAATTATGGGTGATGTGGTTAAGTTTGAAAAATTCAAGAGACTAGTAACAATAAATTGTTGAGACATTTACAACTTGCAAAAGCAAATGTGACAGTGAATAATATATAAAAAAGAATCTACATATGGTGCTTTTTCAACTAAAGTGCACTCCCCTTCATATATGCTGCACTTGCGTTTTACATATGTAAAGTCTAAAAGTTTAACCGAAAGGGAATATTGAATAAATGAGTTCTAGCACTTGAAATCGATAGATTCTATAAAACAACAGTTTTAAATCCAGAAATGGACATTATCAGCAACATAGATGGATGATGAAGACTTTGTCAGAATGAAATTTGGTCCAGTCACCAGCAATATTGATGCATCTCATACTCCAAGTTTCGAGAAAATAACCACTATAAAATTGTAAAAATTACTCTGTCACAATTCCACAAATCTTATTTAGTGATCAGCGTCGGTGGTATTGCGGTTAGGATGCTCGCCGACCATGCACATGGTTCGGGGTTCGAACCCCGGCCGACCCACTCCTTTACCTCGCTAAGCCAGAAATAATGCTGGTAAAGAGGAAAGGTTGGGCATGAGGCTAGCAACCCCATCCTGCAAAATAAAAACTGCTACAGAAACTTCAAGCCACTAGCTTGAGGCCCTATGTTTCACTGGGAACGTGAAGGGAAAAAAATAATAGGATAAAATGTTAAAAATCCCATATATCTTAAGTTTATACACAAAACTAGTATTAGGGACTATAGCACATGGTCTGTTGGTTAAAAATGTTTTACAAATGGGAGAGGCTAGACAATTAGTGTACAAACATTTATTTGAGTTCAAACTTCTGTAAAATGCCTGTTTCTGAATACTGTTATTTGTCAATGCCTGAACCGACGTAGTGCCACCACAGTATCAGGCTGACATTAAAACCTGAGAAATGGGAACAGTAATTACAGATGATTATTAAAAGATATCATGTAAACATAATGAATCCGCAGCTACTATCTTCAGTAAAAACGTAGACAAACAACTATACAGTACAGCTATTGATCTACATCAGCAACTTTAACGTGATATGAATTGAAAATGTAATTAGAAATTTTATTCATTGTAAGAAATATATAATAAGTAACATACAAGTAACTTTTTTGGTATACGCTTAAAGAGTACGGAAAGAGTGAATGCCTTCAACAAAGCGAGTTATGAAAAAAAAACAGTTCAGAAGAATGCACAACAATGCAGAATCATTTGGCAACTCGTTTTGTAATGACGTACTTCCAAAAGTCAATAAAACGCAGTAGCTAACAAACAGCACAACCAAATGAATTTTTGATACATCACTAAGCTGATGTTTATCATCAGTTATTCAAAGCTAACTTTTGCCAATAGTTTAAGATACACTAACAAATAAACAATGAGTCTCAGTAATTATTGTCATAAGCATAATTGAAATAAGTGTTTTATCGCATTATTGTCTACTTCATCATGTTGACCAACTCTTATTTTATTGGCATTTTCCGAAATATAATAAATATATAGTAAATTTTTATGAATGCATTATATTTATGAGAAAACTGGTATGCTACAAAGTCGTTTTATTCTGTTATGGAAAGCAATTCCTGCTTTAAGTCTGAGCTTCTAAAAAGTATTTCATTAGAGATGGAACCGCACAAAAACGTGTTTTACTAGTGGTCCAAATTTAAAAATACAACAAGAATGGCGTTTCCCACATACTTCATCCGATCTAAAGCAGTTAATTTTTCTCCTTTAATTTTAGGATACACAGCAAAACCAACAAGCTTGAACTACCCAGTCACAAAATACTGAAGTGCTGATTAGTTTTCCATGTTTACTTACGTTTTACTGAAATGTCACTGAATTTAAGCTTGATTTCACACATCTATCCGGATCTTGTCAAGTGAGACTCATAAATTGCAGTGATACTATACATTAGTATGATGTGACCTCACATCAATTAGGTAGGAGAAGCAAAATCCACTTAAAAACAACAGTCAATGAAAATTAAAATCCGCTTAGCATTCCCGTAATGGTGTTATTTCTCAATCATTCCAGAAGATATCATCAAAATAACATGCACCACTATTTTTATTATTCGATATTCTTGTAACGCATCTTGCTTTCTATTCTTTTTTTAAGGAATAGGTCAGTGCCGAAAAAAACAATGAAGCCTACCATTTCAGATAAAAAATGTCTGATATTATCTTGGCAACTAGATGTCTTTTTCGTTTGTTTTTACGTTGCGTTGGAATCCTTATGTAATTTTGATTTTAGCTCGGTTGAAATCATTGGTAATCTACCAACTTACCTAATTGTTTATTTACGTAACCGTTTTAGTTGTTTGTTTTTTTACATTAAATTCCATTCCATTTGAAATGTGATTTTCGGCTTTTAGAAAAGCAAAATATAATCCGTGAGGAAAAAGATCTTCCTATCCTCCAAATAGTTTATTGAAAGGTTACGGAGACGTCCAGAATTTTGACATGTGTCGCTGTACACTGTTCCCAGACTTCAAAAATCCCTTAACCTTTGACACCACGGCAAGGTCATCCGCGCAATTTGTGCACCTTTATGTGGCTCAGATCAGCTTGCGAGATGGAAATCAAATCCCTCAAATGTATTCCAAATCATCTACATTACAAATAAGTGACTTTTAGACATCTAAGAAACGGCATACTACATCGTTTAACTTCAAACGTCTCTCACTGATCAGTATAAGTCAAGAACACAGTTGCATGCAAATTATATATTGGGGGAGTGTATCCAACATGCTCATGAAACCAAAGTGAAGAAGTTATCCTTCAAGTGCATAATAGGCGCCTGAATTAAACTGGTATTTGAAAATACATACTATGCAATGAATAGTTTAGGACTCTAAACTGAAAGCTAGCATATGAAAGCCTTTACCATCACAATACCCTGGTCACCCACAGCAAATACAAAGCATATTGAAATCATGGGGTCTCAAATATCACAAAATATTTATGATGTTGGCTCGAAGTCATGGCGTAAATACTCATATTACGACTTACGGCAGAGGGATGAATAGTTTAGATCAAAATATTACACAAATGACAACAACTTCAGTAGTACCAGTGAGCCATGTAATTAATTCGCAGAAAAACACAAATAAAATTGAGTTTAAGAAGTTACTTACCAAGGAATGCTGACACCTGAGGCATTAAACTTTCATGTAATTCCAAAGTACCACGTGTTTCCCATGGATGTTTTCGCCTACTATTACCACTGGTTGTACTGCCTATACCGCTACTATCTATCGTTTGTTCACCACTTGAAGAAACGTTGGTCCGAATTTCCAACGGGGCAGATATCAACCAGCGTCGTTCAGGATCTGCTTGAACTGTTTGAGTTGGCTCTTCTGAACCGGCGGATGGACGCTTAGCTGTTGGATCACGAGCTGTAACTTCCAAGGTACATCCTGTGGCTTCACACACTATCCTTATGGGCTTTAACCGACTGAGCTGAAATACCTTTTGTTGGACCCTGGATGAACGCTTCTTGTTCACAGAAGCTTCTTCAGAGGTAGCCTCTTCACCTGGTGACTTAGTATCACCAGAAGCTTGAGTTGGACTTGCATTCTGTGTAGCTTCTGGAAGTGGTGATGAAGCACTGGGAATGTCACTATCTTCTGAGCTATCCGCCTGCTGCTCTTCTTCAACGACTACACATGTTAGCAGATGCTTCAGCAATGTATTACAAATAGAAACAGGAAGACCAACAGAATATTGTCCTTTGAAATAGTCACGAACAGTTACCCAAGGTTGAGGTATTGACTTCCCCGCGACCGCATTTGTGTTACCATTAACTGCAGGTCCTTCTCTCACTTCCAAAAAATACGCTTCATAACGTGGATCAGATCGACGATTACGTACGAATTGTCTGAGTAGAGGACGACTCACTTCTGCTAAAGGAACACGAACAGACGGTGGGCGTCTGCGAGAATTTCTTGTTGTTCGTACTGTAGGTGGTCTAACAAACATGTATGGCATAAACGAGATTAGCAATCAGACTTGACAATAAACGCTGCCCGGTATCTTGCAGACTAATAACTAAAATGTAATGAGAATAATTAAATCGAATTATTCTGTACCAACAGTAGATTTCTGATCACAGGTTTTTGCAGGAATGTATAAATAAATCAACAGTGGAATGTATGTAGGCTAATCGAAGAGCAGTCAACAAAAATCTGGCGCGCTTAAATCCCAGCAACGTATTTTAAAGAATTGATTTTGATTCAAAAGGCATGGTTGTTGTATTTATTCATCGATTGGTATTGACCTACAAACTGTGTTAAAATCTGATTCGTTAAAATTGACTGTAGTATACAGACATGTATTGTGCTACTATAATATTCATTGGTAGGTTATGTATGTTTGTATTACTATTTTCAGGTACTTCATGTAATAACTTTACACAGAACCTCTAGGTGTAAATGTCACTTAACAGAGATGGACTGACATTAAAATAAATGTTTTATCTTAGCAGTGAATAAAATTAGGGCTAAAAAATATTTCGCTTATCTATTTTCGTTAGCTGTAAGAGATTTCATTGTTAGCTCCGAAATATGCGGGTGAATCTGATAGTCAATTTTTCATTATTGTTTTTTTCTCTTCAGCTTTTACTTTTGGAATTTCAAAATGGTGATTAGTGAAGGAGGAATACTCATTTCTAAATCTTCTTCAGATTCCACACATATATCCACAATAGTTAAAGAATAATTCCTGTTTTAAATAACATCGAGTCATCAATTTATACAAATTCTGATCAAGATTTGACTGAATATTTTCACAAATATCGAACCATCGACATCCAAATTCCAAAAGGCATATGTGAACATGCCTGCACTAGATTACAGTTCAAAATGTTCGGTAATATGCATTAATAAGGTACTAGACTGACCGCCAGATATCATGAATAACAATAAACATTGCCAGTGCTCATAACTTATGTCCATACTGAATTTTATTCAAGGTTATCTAAATACTTCCATAATTTATTAAGAACGAGAATAATTGAATTAATTAATATGAGGTGCACAAGAGGTGGCCCAAGTAGTATAGTGGATAATGCTTTGGTATTTGAAACTATGGGCACTGGGTTCGAGCCTCAGTGGGAACATCAGTCACTGCGAAATGCAGGTACATCCAGATGAAAAGTCCCAAACAGGACGGAATGTGCGTCCTGGATTCCACTGCTAGTCATCATCCACCAATCAACCTCCAAGAATAACTGCACAAAATAGCTGCTGTCATTGAATTTTCCAGGCCCCACAATCATAAATACATTAATGTCAACCAAGGAAATGTAAACTAAAATTAGATCAGAAAGTATATTTTAATAAAAGTACAAGATGGATTATTAGTTAGATTTGATTATCACTTAAATCTGTTTAAAATGTGTAGTCAATAAGAACATGAGATAATATAAGTCTAAATAATTCAATCATGTCCTTGTGTGTTTATAATCCTACTGTAGCATTTTAGAGTTTTACCAAAAATATTTTTGATACAAGGACAAAACTTGGGCACTGCGGTAAAGTATAACTTCATTATGGATAAAATTTATTTGATAAAATCACACTGATATATGGTGAATATTTACTGATGACGTTTCGAGCACAATTTATTTCTCATAATCATATCATTTTTGCTAGCATAGACCCACACATGAGATCGCCTCAACTTGTTTGTGGAAATTAATGTTGAGCATAAACTGAACACTCATTGTACATTTCAACAGTAATCCCTTAACGTTTTTAAGCATATAATTAACCTTTTTGACAAGTGAGACGTGGATGAGTATTGAAGATGCATGACATCATTTGATTTCCATTTCACTTCAAGCTATTGTTGGTTTCTACTATACTGAATACATCTTTTAAGCTGAACTTTATCAGTTCACTATTTAGAAATTATTGATAACATCGGAAGCAGAGCTGTTTCCATTCATGTTATTTCCTAACCAGATTGTTACGAAATAAACAACTTTTTATGCAAGGTCAGTCAGTGGTCCTTGTTTATTAGTCTGTAGCTGAATCGTTCCAAATGTTGAAATTTTAATTTTTTTTTTAAGAAACCAACCAGAATTATATGAACTCGTCCGTTCTCATGATTCTTCTCACATTCGTGGGATCTGAGGTTGAAACTAAGTTAAATGTTATTATTATTATTGTATCCTTTAGTTCCTAGAGGAACATAGGGCTTCAGCTGCGCACCTCCATTGCCTTCTGTTTTCTGACAACTTTTTCACCCCGCTCCAGGTCTGTCCACATGCTTTCATCTCCTCCTCGCATGACCTCCTCCAAGTCACTCTTGCACTGACGACCAACTCGCCGTCTCCATTCCGGGTTCCACTCGACCAATGGCTTGTCTAGTGATGTCACTTGATGGTTTCCTCAGAGTATGGCCAGCCAATCTCCATTTCTTCTTGCCTATTTGTTTCACAATCGGTTCCTGTTGGGATGGTTTGCTCATTGCCAGAGATCCCTGTTGGTGATCTTTTCTGGCCGGCCATCTGATGTTGAGTATTGAGCGAAGACAGCTGTTAATGAAGGTCTGAAGTTTGTTTGAGGTGCTCTTTATGACGCGCAGTGCAAGTCTCTGATCCGTACAGTGAGTAGCACTGACTTTACATTTGAGTTGAAAATCCGGATGTTATTTTTGATGCTGAGTGATGTTGACCTCCACACAGATTTGAGAGTAATGAAAGCTTGATATAAGAATAAAACTTGTGCACTGTCGTAGGGTGTAATTCCCATAATGGAAGTAATGAAAGCTTGTCTTGCTTTTCCGATTCTGGCCTTGATATCCTCCTCAGTTCCGTCCGCCCGTAGTTGAAACGATGCTTCCCAGATAGGTGGGTAGGTAAAAAGCAGGTTGTTTCTTTCAGGTTCCTCCCATTTGTGCTGGCTGGTTGTTGTCTGTTGTTGTTGCTGTTGCTGTTTATGTTGGTGTTGGCCAGGAATCTTGATCACCTCTGTTTTCTCCATGTTCACCTGAAGGAAGTCCTATCTTCTCAGGATGCTTCTTCTGCCAACTTGTTGCTTTTCACTTGCATATCTTCCAGTTTGTGGGAAATCAGACATATATCATCGGTGAAGTCAAGATCCTCCAAGTATTTTGTGTGAGTCCATTTTATTCCTGTTTCGTCGTTGGTTTCCGCTGTCTGTCGCATTATCCAATCTACTGTAATCAGAAAGATCATTGGCTGTCGCACTCCCGTCCTCACTTCGAAGGCTTCCGTAAGTTTTCCGTTGTGGATTACTTTGAATGCAGCATTGTCGTATAAGTGTTGGATGAGATGTATAATGGTCGATGTTACTCGGTAGTAGCGAAGTAGTTGCCAAATCACCACTTGATCGACGCTGTCGAAGGCCTTTTCAAAGTCGATGAAGTTGAGATAGAGAGGTGGCTGCCATTCTAAACTTTGTTCAATGATGATCAGTAGTGTGGTGATTTGATCAATACATGATTTCTTTCTCCTGAATCCAGCCTGTTCCCGTCGAAGTTTTTCATCTAGAGCTTATTGGATTCTCTCCAGGATGATGCGGCTTAGTATTTTGCTTGGAATGGACAGAAGCATAATTCTACGCCAGTTTTTGCATTGATTTAAGTCTCCTTTCTTTCGTAGTTTGAATAAGTATCCTTTCTTCCAATCCTCGGGTACTTTGCCCTCTTTCCACACCTTCTCCAGCAGTGGCGTCATCAAGTCCGCTGTAGTCTCTGGGTCTATTTTCAATGCTTCTGCTGGGATTCCATCTGGTCCTGGTGCTTTCCCAGCTTTTAGCATCTTGATTGCATTCAGGACTTCTGATTTTGTCGGGGGGTCAATGTTCACTGGTAGTTCTGCTTCCGTTGTTGGTATTGTTGGGCGTGTTGTAGGTAGTGGTCGATTTAGAAGTCTTTTGAAGTGTTTACCCCAGTGTTTTCTTTGTTCCACTTCTTTGGTGATTGACTTTCCATTGTTGTCCTTTATTGGCTTAATCTGTGTCGAACTTTTTCCCGAAAGGTTCCTAGTTGTTTGGTAGAGTGTGGCGAGGTCTCCTTTGCCTGCAGCTTGTTCTGCTTCCCTTGCAATGGTTTCATAATATTTTCTTTTGTCTTCCCTGGCACTCTTCTTCACTCTTTTGTTCAGTGTATTGTAGCTTGCATTCAGCTCCTGTTGTTTTGCTCGTCAGTGCACTGGATAATCCTTTGTTTCACTGTCCTTCTCTCTTCTATTAGTTTCCAAGTGTCCGTAGTGAGCCACTGTTTGTCCTGTCTCTTTTTTCTGCCTAGAACGTCCATGCAGGTTTGACTCCACACCGTTTTCAAGTTGTTCCAGTGCTTTTCGACGCTGACTTTTTCTCTCGTGTTGATTTGTGTCTCAGCTTTTTCCCTTATGCTTGCAATGAAGATGTCCTTTGTGGCCTGGTCCTTCAGCTTTTGAGTGTTGAACTTGGCTTGTGGTCTATCTGCAGCTCCTGTTTCCCTGAAAGCTTTTAATTTGATTTGGATTGTCCCTTGTACGAGATAGTGGTCTGAGCCAACGTCTGCTCCTCTTCTTGCTTTTGTGTCCAGTAGGCTGCGCCTCCACTTCCTTGAGATTGAGATGAAGTCGATGTTAATGTTAAATTTCTTGAACTATATCGCTCTTCTGATCTTTTCTGGTCGTTCCATATCCTGTTGAATCCTAGAAAGAGATTTCATCTAATGTTCTATGTAGAAAAGTTAAGACAATTTGGTATCACTATGCTTTCACTTTTACAGTTTGTTGACACTCGCATTCTTCCTATTCTCCTTCATTGTTTCCCCTTATTGTTTTCAGGGCTAATTAGAGAAGACTATATCAGCAACACAGTTCCAAAAATGATGGACAAATTATTCAATGTTAAAAGACTAATTATGAGTATAATTAATGTAAGTGCTATGCTCTTCCAACCTCTTGAAATATCAATCGTAGAATGTAGAAATCACTATGTCGTTAGACCTTGCATTTTGTCTGTAGTCTATCCTTGTTGCCATGGCAAATGTAAAACCTACTTATGTCTAGTCTAACTATCTTTGTTTACAATAAACGACATGAATAGGAATAGTATTCTGACTCTAGCATCAAATAGAATGTTCAAATAGATATGTAGTATTTTGTTGCTAGTTCTGTATTGAGCTGTGCGAATATATGAGAATAATATTCTGTTGGAACATTGTCTTTATCACACCACCACACTATAAATAGATAGTCTTTAAACAAGACGTTGTCACTAAAATATATCTGTAGGGCAAGGGGTGCGTTCCTAAGGCAACTTGTTTATATTGCTGTGGTGTGACACCTAAACTCATACAA